AGCAGCCGTTGCCATTGAAAGGTGTATGATTGTTATTAAAGGCTTGGATTTCGATAGGAAGAAAAGTGCGAAATTGGCCAAGTATGTAATTGTCGGTGTTGTTTTATTTAGTATTCTGTTGTCATGGCATGAAATACTCTACCATTATCTGGTTGATGATCCATCACAGGCTCCGGGTCACTATTGGTGCGTTGCAGAATACAAAGAAAAATGGATCGAAGTCTATGAACAAACAACAAATATAATCAATATGATTGCACCATTCTTGATTAATTTGGTTACAACAATTATCTTGTTGATCACTGTTGTTCGTCGTAAAGTCACATCACTAACAAATGACAAGAATAAAGATGCGTTTCAACTATTGAAAGAACATTTGTCGTTGTACAAAGCTTTCATCATAAGTCCATTCCTCATCATTGTACTTGAACTACCACGTCTTGTTCTGTTATTTTCTCTTGCTTGTATTCAATTTGAATGGCAAAAGCATTTGTATCTATCAAGTTATCTTATCTCACAGTTACCATTCGTGCTGACATTGCTCATATTTGTGGTGACAAAACGATCCTATCGACAAGAACTGATGAAATTGTCAATGAAAATACAAACAAGATTTACATCAATCGATGCAACAAGAATGTAAACAACAAAAAAATAACGGAAGAAGGATATGAAAGGCATGTAAGACAGATTTATAAAAGAAAATTAAATAGGGCTGCTTTTGTACTGTCTATGTGACCGAAACATCACTTACTCAACGAAAAAAACCATAATGTTTTGAAAATCAACTTTTGTTAAATAAGATTTTGTTCAAAAATTTCTTCCTGGTAGTAATAGAAAAATGTAGAATTTCTTTGCAGACACTTTTAAAATAGTAAAACTTTGTCCAAAACCTTTTGGTTTTGTGTCTCAAAAACAAATATTTCTGTACTTTTGCATATTGTGTTTGAATAGCGTATAAAAAATTCTTTCGCAAATACAACTGGCATTTTATTCCAAGAAGGGGCTAAGCAAGTGATGTTTTCGTGGCATCTATTGATTTTACTGCTACAAAAAAACAGTAAAGCCTTATGCCAAAAGAAACATAGCAATTAAATCTACACAAATTCTCTGTTGTTTAGCATCCGAACGAAGCTTTTTTATCAAGTCTAATTTGAGAAAACAGCCTATCAAAAGTCGCGCTATTTCCTCTACCACCGTGGTATTTTATTTTGCTCGGCGACGATGCTGATGCTCTAGAATAGAACTTTTTTCGGGTTTATTTCTGCGACCTTGCTTGGTTATGAAAAAAATAAATGAAGAAAAATTCTCTTCTGAATAATTCTATCTTGATTTTTGATTTTTGACAAACTTTCCCTTAGTTTATTTTTATTTTCAATATTAATGTTTCATGTAGTATGTGAAATTGTATTTTTGACAGATTATTTTATGTCAGTGCAGTGTTTTGTTCGTAGTTCATGTCTGTGGAATTAATTGTGCAAAAAATCTTTTGGTTCATTTTTAAAAGAAACTACCACCCGTTTCAAAATACAATGGAGAAAACTTTTGTTTGAAGAACTTTTGATAGGAAAGAGATAGATTCCTACAGTTTTCATCATTGTGTAGACAAGACCTGCTAGAATGTTTTTATAAAAGCTTTGTGTGCCTCTTACCATCTACAGATGATGTAGAGTCAAGTTGAACGGGATTTTTGAGAGGTTTATCATTTTCATTAGTGTAAAGTAATTTCAAGTAGTGTAAGTATAAAGGATACCGGCCCCTCCTTTGGTGACTCAATAGTGACTAAGGCTAGATGCATAAACACTGGACATTTCATCAAATTTGAAGAATATTTTCCGGATATTGGTAGGTTTCTGGTGATATAACCCGGTATTTCAGTCTACGGTTGTAAGGCTGGAAAGCGCAGCATGAGAGTGAGTAGGAAATAAAACATTTCGGATCGCAACCGAATGTTTTTATAAACCATGCGAGGTCAAAACCTCCAATTTTATCACATCATTGTTCAATTCTGCTAGAGCTAAGTTCCATTCTATTTCAATTCTGCTGTGAAAATATTTAATTCTGCTTAACTTGATCGGTCTACGTATTTCTAAACATTCAATTCTGTCTCATCATTGGAAAAGTAAGTAGACTAATCAAGTTAAGCAGAATTGAATATTTTCACAGCAGAATTGAAATACAATTGTACTTAGATCGTAATAGAATTGAATGTTTGGAAGCACGTAGACATCATTGTTCAATTCTGCTGGATCCATATTCAATTCTGCTGTATAGGAGTAGAATTCTGGAATTATAGGAACTCTATCATCCCTCAAGAATTTTGCAGGAAACATGTTAGTCTTTTATGTGCAACAGATAAGAATCTTATCAGAATCTTATTCAAGTCTTATACAATTACGCAGGAAAGTGAATGGACTTTTATAAGAAGCTTATAGGATTTTTATCAAAGTGTCATAAGAATAACACAGGAATTTGATAAGATTCAGATAAGAATAACTGAAATATCTTATGCAATTCTTTTCAGACTCGTATCTGTTTCGTATCAGACTCTTACCAGATTCTTATAATCTGTGGCTATGACAGAACCTGATTTTTCATCCTTTTATAAGCATTGGCAAAGGAGTTCTATCCGAACTGGACTCACGCGGGAAGTACCCCAACTGATAAATCGCTTTTTCAACGAAACTGAGCGGACTATAGGTAGTCGACGATGCTGATTCACAATTACGCAGGAAAGTGAATGGACTTTTATAAGAAGCTTATAGGATTCTTATCAGAGTGTCATAAGAATAACACAGGAATTTGATAAGATTCAGATAAGAATAACTGAAATATCTTATGCATTTCTAAGACATAAAGAACTCGATTCACTCTCAATGTCCACCTTCATGTAATGACATTATACTCGGTCCTGATGATCAACCTGTCGGATGTCGTAAATGTTAACAAACACGATGTGCCACTTGTCACCATCTAACTGATCAAGACTAGTTTATTTCCTCCACTATTAATCAAATATTCCGTATTCCTTTCACTGTTACATATTAAAGTATGAATTTGTGTTATCTAATTACTGTCGGCGCCAAAATATAGTGCGGCTGACTGTTTTTTGAATAAATTTTTATAGGAAAGAGCTAGAGACCTGGTTGATTTGATTTCCATCTAGCACGTTTCTGCGTCTGTTCTAACGTGTGTGTGTGTGGCTAAGATACACGTGACCAATAGAATAATTTATGAAACGACGAGAAAAATTCCTTTTTCGTTCTGTTTCTTCCCTTCCTGACCTCTCTATCAGTGTACGTTTAGAGTGTAGCAAAACATAATTCTGTTTGTCTGTGAATACATAATTTGACAGCCAGCGGTTGACGTAGTTTCGTTTTAACTTTAAAAATGCCAACCTTTGCAGAGTTTTCAAAAGAAGTAAAAGCAGTTTATTTTAAATGTATCAGTTTTTTCGAAAGTGAGGAGCGTGGTAAGCAGATACCGTTATTCAATGTACATGAACGGTTAGAAGCCATGCTTGGCTTGAGTGATCGATCGATGTCAAATCTGAAAAAAGAAATGAAAACCCTACAAGAAGAAGAAAAAGAAAACACCCGACTTCGGCGAACTTCCTCCAGCTCTTCCTCTAGTCGTTTTCGTCGGACTTCATCGCAGTCCTCTACCAAGTCACAAATGTTAACGAGTGTTCCCTCGCCATCTTCGCCTCGAAAAAGATTACGTTCTGGTCGCCGTAAAGTAATTCTGTCAGAATACGAAAAGGACCTAATACGCCTTCATTTTCACCTTATACTCGCCGAACGTCGATATCCAAATGCGACGGAAATTTTACACCGCTTACACGCTGAAGACAAAGAGGGCTACGAGTTTCATATCAAAAGTGAAACATCTCTCCGCTGGCAGCTCAAAAGACTTGGTTTCAAGTATCGACAAACAGCGAAGATAAGTGTCCCAATGGACTCTGTCAGCTTTCATTTAAAAATATTTTAATAAAAAAGATTAAAGTGATGAAGTTAAATTAAAGTGTGAAAAAAGATTCAGAAATGTCAGCTTTCAGGCAGCTCGTGCCTATTACTTTGATCGGCTAGATGAACTACGAGCAAAAAATACGAAATTGTACTACCACGACGAAACTTGGTTAGTAAAAAATGAAGAAAAACGTTACATTTGGACGGACGAAATAGGAGCAGGCCGTCTGCGGAGTAGTGATGGACGTGGTGAGTTTCAGCTATTTTTGTTATTGATTCGAGAAAGCTCCAGTGCAATGTTTTGTCTAGGTTAGAGACTTGCCATAAGTGGATTAATTAGTGCTGAAGGCGATTTTCATATGCCGGGTCTCGACATTTTTCGCTGTGATCAAGAGCATGCCATGAATAGAAATCATTTTGTACAGTGGATAACCGAGGCTGCTTCTACTCTCAGAAAAGAACACGGTAAGAGCCGCACGATAGAACACGGTAAAAAGGTTAAGTGGTACTGTTCGTAGGAGAGAGTTAGATAAAACAGTGGTTTTTCTGCTGTATAAACAGATAGTTTTGTTTTAAATTTATTCTTCTGTGGATTTCTTAGTCTGTAGAAAAGGAGTTCGTTTTAGCTTATCTAAAATGTTTCTTATCTGGCGGCCTTAGAGAAGAGTGCGGCGAGTTTCTGTATATTTTTTATTTTTATAACAATTTTCAGGTAAATATATATTGATATTCGATATGACATCATTTCCAAGATTCCCGAATCAACATCATACTCATGTTGGCCTTCTATGCAGGAAATGATCACTGTGTGAAAAGTTCCAGAATAAACTGTATTTCTCAGATAAACGGTAGTTGTCTTTTTGCTCTAATCGAATTCTGAAATAATATCAAATAAGATCCTACTTTTCTCGATCAAGATCTAACAGACTAAATTATAGGGGAATATTGTCATGATGAAGATAAAAAAATTAATGGGATGGATACATTCTTTCACAAAAGAAAACTACACCGATAATGACGTACTTCACTTACAAAACATTTTAGCTTTATTTCATCGTTCACCATTTAGAGAGAAAAAATAAAACCTTTCAACAATATTTACATACTGAACGTTTGTAATTTCTTCACACTTTTGAAATACATGATCTGTGTATATCCTTTCATATCAGGAAGACCAATTTTTATTCCTTATCAGGCCAACGTTATATTAAAAGCAATGTTTTAAACAAGTTGTTGTTTAACACTAATTGTAATGGTACTCATCAAAGCTTATTATTGAACACGCTACAGTAGCGGTTTTTCAATGTAAAACAGTGCATTTTGTAGAGAATTATTTGCTCTGCAAAATGTTCTGAAATCATTTAGTTCTACTAGATTTTACTGCTTTATACTTATTTTCACCATATTATGTGCGTTTCACGTATGTTTGATGGATTCAAAAACCGAATCAACCACAAGATTATAAGGTAAGAAATTTTCCAACATTCTCTTTCGAAGCAACACGTGTCACAATGTACCTGGAAGACGATCAAAAAGTTGCTTTGAAAGAGATCGTCAAACCTATGCTAAAAGAACAGCCAAAAAAAATACAATAGTGATGATGATGATGATGAATTTTTATCTCTGTCTCTCTCTCTTGTCTTTCCTTTTGTTTGCTCTTGAGAAATAAAATATTTGTTTTGAGATAAATTAAAAGATGTATCTTCAGGTGTATTCTTTGTTTTATTTAATAAACACAAGAAACAACATAAGATATATATTAAAATTTTATCATGTCTATCTTACTGGTAATGGGTTCAGTTGAGTAGAAGACACATGAGTATTTGAATTATTTGTATTTTTATAGGTATTATTCATTGGTTTTATATATTGTTTGGGTGTTACGGCTAATTTAAATGCTGAATTAGAATGGCAAAAGTTTAAAGAACAAAAACATTATTCATCAGCTATAGAAGAAAAATTGAGAAAAGAAATATTTTTTGATAATATTAACTATATTAATAATCATCAGTTATCATCCAAATACTCGTTGAAAATTAATAGTTTTTCTGATAGAAAAATTGTGGTATGTATTGATAATTTGTAATATCTATGATTAATTATATCTTCGTTTCTTTTGTCAGGAACTTATACAACCATTTTGTTTGAGTTCTACATATGAAGATATTCATGTACATCATCAACGTAATCAATCATTTGTACCACCAGATAATTTTGATTGGAGAACAAAAGGTGTTATCACAAACATTAGAAATGAAGGTCAATTGGGAGATGTAGTGGACATTGCATTAGAAAAATAGGTACTTTTGCCGCGCACCATCAAATTAGTTGAAACTAAGGCGATATATGCAGAATTTCACGGCGAATCCGACAGCGGGCTTCTTATAATTATACTTTGAGTTTCTGATAGG